CTGGCTGGGCCTGATCCCTTGGTTGTCCTATGATACTGAACAGGGAAACACATGGCTCCAACCTTGTTCCAGATAACATGCAACACTTTCTGATGTTCTTCGCAACTCTATCAGAAAACGTGTGCAAAACATGAACAAGATATTTCATGTAGTGCTTTATCGATTGCTTTACAACTCTCTAAAATCAGTGTTGATTCTTCTTCCTGAGAGAAAGACTGAACCTCATCACTGAGAGACTGAAGAAAATAAGTGCTGAGGGAAGATTTACATGAGGACAAGGAAGCTATCCTAAATAAAAGGACATTTAAATTGCATTTGACATATCTTGCAGAGAGGAATAAGACCACACCTCTCCCAAAGACAGTTCCAAAAGGATTTACATATAGGTGTAATGCTTTGAATCTAAAATCTACTGTTAATCTGTGATCTACTACTCCATTCCCCTGAAGAGGAGTTTTACAAGTCTGTTGTAACACCTTATCAAATGCTTCATTTCAACTGAAAAATTGACTAGATGATTCTTCATTGAACTGTCTCAGCAGAAGGGTCCTGAATATTGGCATGGTTTCCTCTAAACAGAAACATTTAGCACAAAAATGACAAATATAAAAAGACAAGCATTTCAGAAGAATTCATCAAAATTAAAAACTTCTGTGCATGTGCAAAAATATACATGTAATAATACATGTAAGATGAGCTATATAGTGGTTCAAGAAGATTCTGCTGCAATGCTTGCTCACAGGGAAACAGCACAGCTCTTAGTGAGGAAGAATTCTTCCAACTTAAACTGAGAAGTTCCCGTGCAAAGGTCCTGCCTGCATGAAAGTATCAATAAACTAATCACAAAAGTCTAACCACAGCTAAACAAATGCTATTTGACCAATGTACACTCTGTACATGCCGCTGTACAGTCCAGTTCCTGGAAATGAACACAAGAATATTATTTAGCCAAAAATGGACTCACTGTTCTGAACAGCTCATATGCCTGTGGAGTCCCTTCCAAGCTTAAGAGCTTGAAGTCATGCAGGAGCTCCCTGAAGTAGCATTTATCTGGTCACACACATCTAGATGACAGCACTGTTGTTCTCATTACAACAACTTCTGGTGCTGACAAGCGACTCCAGAAATGTTATTCCTTGCTGAAGCATCTCAGTTTTGAACAATAGAGACTGAAAAACAATGGGATATTCTCAGTAGAATGATCAGCTCTTTTTTTAATTGAGAATTCATATATACAGCTTGTGGAACTCCGTGCAAGTGGATGCAAACAAAGAGCTTCATATAATACGGTGCCTTTTGGATCGATCTCACAGTTACTTATATATACACTGGCATGAATTGCTTAGTGCAATCCCCCCCTCCCATGTCTGTTCCCAACACTGCATTAAAAAATAAAAGTCCAGCCTGAGACATTTTTTTTTTGCAGAGGCACCAAAGTAGGCTTGCTCAGTCACTCTGTCTTGAGACGGGCAGCCTCCCGACGTTGCTTCTGAACAGTCCTGGAATCTTCCCACAGACTGGGTCCTCTGATGTTCTCCCAGTTATCTAAGACAGACTTTTCCAGCTTCTGCAGATAAACAGCAAAAATAACAGTGTCACCTTGACAGCGCCATGATTTAAAGCATGTATTATTCTAAGTTGTTTTATTTTTGCAAAAGAAACTCAGTATCACTATTGCATTGATGAACTTTCATCTACCCTGCAAGAGAAGTTCAACAAGGGAAAAAAAAACTTAGGAGTTATCCACATAGCTACGTAAATGACTACAGTGGGCATTATTGCATCTGCTTATCAAAGGATAAATAACATGTAGGACAGGAAGCATCTGAACACGACTGAAGATATCTTGTATTCACTTTTTCTTTCTTGTCTCACCGTGTTTTCCAGATCTGTTCTTCAACTGCAGGTCTGCCAAGTACTGAAGTAGTAGGAGTGATAAGCATTGGTATAGCTCAAACAGAAGATTAGTAATTAGTGACCTGAAGTACCCTGTCAGCACAGATATAAATCATACTGGAAAAGATGAATTATCTAGCACAAAGAGTTACGGTAACAGTGCAATCCCCTTCAACGCATGTAGTTTTAGCATGAGAGAGTTAGGTGATGCTTTCTGCTGCCTGTTTCTGCTGCTGTTTCTCATGGTACCCAATCATCACAGATAGGTCTCTCACGAAGTCATACACGAGATATGCTAACTGGCCAAACTGTTACATACTTAAAAACTATGTAGATTTTAATTACCTCTTTGCCTGCTCCTATCATCCCCACTCAGAAGTGCCAATGACTGCAGTATTTATCCAGCCTTAGAGGTGCACAAAATTGAAGAACAGGCACCCTCCTGACCTCACCTACCAAGTGCTGCAATTGAAGACGGCAAACATATCTTCACAGCCTGCATCTTCACAGCCCTACTGGCAGAGACATGGAAGTCCCTTCCCAGCAGACACAGACCTCAAGTCTCACATACCAGCCTGCAGTCTGGACGGTACATCAGACACGATGGAGCTCTGACAGCAAGAGATTGAGGAGGAGGTCTGCACCACTGCCAGAAACAGGGTTATTCTACATGCTACTGAAGAGGGCAATACTGCATACCATTAATGATACATATTGCAGTGGGATTTAAACCTCTGATTTGTGATCAGAGCCTTGTGTCAGTAAATGCTGTAAAAATACACCAGAAAATACTTAACCCTGCCCTGAGCCTGTGGTCTAATTTGCCTGCCATCAATCATCCAAATAAATGGCAAATACAGAGGGACTTGAATAATAAGTCGCAGAATAATTCAACACCTAGAACAGAACAGACCTGCTGCTATTAGTTCATATTACGTAAAAGTTTTCTGCCACTTTTACAGTTGAGGAAATTGCAATGAGGTTAGTCAGATATCAAAAGAAATTAGGCAACGTTCAACAAAAGATATATGAGAACACATGCACAAACACAGCAGACTTTCACAGGGTAGAAGCACCTGAATTTTTTATATAGTGGAGTTGGCATAGGTCTTTCTGAAGAATTTTCTTCACTACTTTATACATCTTATGATTAGCTGGTACTTCATTTCAACTGGAAGGGATCTGAGCTGACACAGAAGGAGGGAGAAGGGGGGAAGGTACCCATCATCCCACACAGAGGTGACTACCCACTCTGATTGCAAATTTGGAATTTAACATCTGATTCTAATGGAAGCTTCAAGGAAACTACATTGAAAATAACCTTGTGCTTTAACAGAAGGGAAGCATGATGATTTTATTAAGCACAAATGTACCACACAATTGAAAAAGGATCAACATTTAAAATACATAAAACAAGACTTGTAGTATCTTAAGATAGGCTACATAAAGAAGTCTATCAAGAGACATGCATACTGAGGATCTTTAACCAAAGTTCATATTAATCTGTCCCTGAAATTTCACACAGGTTTTTCAGAGAGGAGGTTTGTCCGAAACAGGAAATATTTCAAAACAAGCTAAACAACCCAGTACAAGAAAATATTTGGCAGTTTCCAATAAAAAGCATAAAGGTACCTGGAAAACACACTGTGATATACTGACAATAAAAAACCCAAGGGTTATGTACAGTAAATGGAATTGCCTCAAACTACAGAACAGATGAGATCTGTTGACAGAATTATTTTTTTTCAATTAAAATACAAAGAATTAAAGATTCTAATGAATACATAGACTGTATTGTTATTTTTAATTCTCATTATATTTAGCGAGATCATTAACATTTTGTGTTATGTATAAAGATTGCGTTTGATGCCTTTCTGCAATTCAAGAAGAAAGCACCTTCCTTACTGGCACATGACAGTATCTGCAAAAATTAGTAGTTTACAGGACAGATACATGTTCAGTCATCAGAATGATGACATGATCAGACAATTCAATTTTCTAAACCGATGCTATCAGGTTTTGAAAGATTAGAGGACTCCTGTTGCATGTGGATAAGCATAAGGAGAATCACTGGTGAAAGGGGACTCAAAAATCTGTTCTGCAATGTTTTCCTACTGTATAGCTATTTTTACATGTATCTACCTGTGCTGGTTTTGGCTGGGATTAAGTTAATTTTCTTCATAGTAGCTAGTATGGAGCTATGTTTTGGATTTGTGATGAAAACAGTGTTGATCATAAAGGGATGTTTTCATTATTGCTGAGCAGGGCTTACACAGAGTTAAGGCCTTTTCTGCTTCTCACACCACCCCACCAGTGAACAGGCTGGGGGTGCACAAGAAGTTGGGAGGGGACACAGCTGGGACCCCAACTGACCAAAGGGATATTCCATACCATGTGACATTATGCTCAACATATAAAGCTGGGGGAAGAAGGAGGAAGCGGGGGGTCTTTGCGAGTTATGGCATTTGCCTTCCCAAGTGACCATTACGCGTGATGGAGCCCTGCTTCCCTGGAGATGGCTGAACACCCGCCTGCCGGTGGGAAGCGGTGAATGAATTCCTTGTTTTGCTTTGCTTGTGTGTGCAGCCTTTGCTTTACCTATTAAACTGTCTTTATTTCAACTCATGAGTTTTCTCACTTTTACTCTCTCACTATTCTCTCCCCCATCCCACCGGGGGGGAGTGAGCAAGCTTCTGTGTGGTGCTTCGTTGCTGTCTGGGGTTAAACCACAACAATACCTGACATACAACTAAATAAAACCTAACCTTTTCGCTTGGTCACTGACATGAAAATTCTTACAACAGTATCACCCCAGAATGGCTACATTAGATATAGGCCAAAGATGCATACATAGCTACATTTTATATTAATCTTAGTGCCGAGAATAAGACCAAACTGGCAGTCCTTCTATTGATTAAGTGCAGCACAAGCTGCAAAGTTACGCAGCTCCTTCAGATTGCCTGAGCTGTACAGTGAGAATTCAGGCAAGCGGCTAGTTCTGCTCCTCGGTGAAGTCAACCTCTTTCATTCAAACTGGTTGGGTCTTTTTAATTTCTTATTTTATTTCTTTTTTTCTTTTTAGCCACATGGACTCTGCCCACCTAACTTCATGGAGACATCACATAAAGATGGTAAACTACTTCCAGGCTTTACTAAATTGAAATCCACCTGGACTGGCAGTCTAAAAGCAAAAAAGCTTTTTCTCCCAATTCAAATGTACTAAACAGTCACTCACTGGAGACTACAATGAAATGTAATCAGATCAGACCGGTACCACTATTCCTGCTCGTCTCAAATAGCCCAAAGGATATTGAAAGTTAGCTGTTTAAAGTAAGATCAGTGTAGTCCATTAAATCTACTGATTCACTTCCTAAATCAGCTAAACTGCCTCTTAAAAGTACGGGATTGACAGAAGCTGTAAATTCAAGAAAAAAAATGCAGCTATGCAGACAGGCACAGTCAAAAAAACCCAACATTAAACTGTTTGCCACACACTTGACTTTTAAGACTTTTGTTAAACATCTTGCCTGGCACAAAAGTACCATTAAGGATGTAGAGAGACCTTCACTTAATTGCTGGTTCAAATGCCTGGCTTGATATTACGTAAAAGCCATAATCCTCTGCCAGCCTTAAAATAAAATAAAATTAAAAAAAAGAGTTTGAATTCTGCTCTTGCAGGATAGTCTTCATACCACAACAAACAAACTGAAACCTGCAGAAATTCATTTAGAGCTATTGGTGCTCAGGCGGAGTTAATTCAGGGTGGTCACTTGCAAAAAACATTTGGCTTTAGTCTCAGTTTCCCACATGTGAAAGGAGGGATAAGAAAATCCTGTTTAAATTGCAGCCTGATGTAATAGGTTCTGTGATGAGCACTGCAGAAATAAATTACTCTAATTCAGAGAGACAATTATTTCCCATCATTATAGTAAGCAAACCCATTTGCAGAGAAAAGATGAGCCAGGGAAGAATATCCTCATGGCTGTAAGATGCAGTGAAAGAAATGCATTAAACCAGTCTCTTTTTGCAAGGGTGTCAAAACAGCTTGAAAAGCATAAAAGATATATTGAGGAACTCTGTGATGACATATAGATGAACAGGTACAAAATTAAGGCTAACACTGAATCTGCTGTCTTGTGCATGACTGAAAATCCTAAACCTTATCCTCACACTGATATGGCCTTTTGACATCTCATTTTCTTAATATAAACTTGGTGTTACTTCCTTTGTTTAGGACATGACATAATTTCTGTGATTAGCGATTTAATAATTTGTGATTTAGTAGCCTATGATTAGTGATTTAATTCTCAGATTAAAAAGAAGTATTTTTTCCAACTAAGGAATTTTTACTTTTTATGTTTTTAGTATACAAGCAAGTCAGCAAGCTGCATGCTATGGCCAGAGTAAGGGGATTTTGTTCATGAAAGGAAGAAATTGGTGGTTTTTTGCATGTAAGCATCCAGGGAGCTGCTTCTCTTTTTGGCTTTGCCAAAGACTGGCAAAAACCGTAATGATGAAATCAACAGAGGTTTTGTTGCTGCCTTCAGTGGGATCCAATACCATTCATTTATGGCACAATTAATTAACCTATGGTGAAGTGGTTTAAGAGACTCCTTCCCCATATGTTATTTTCCCTTAAATTATGCCAATTCAGCACTATGTGGGGCTGTG